TGCAGTCGCGCAGCCGTCTTCGGGAAAACAAGGATCACAAAGAGCTTCCCGCATTGAAGTTTAAGATGGAAATCGGTGCAAGCTGCGATGGTGATTCGATGAAGGTGAGGGGTCTTTGGATGACTCGTAATGGCTGTTGCGCTGATTTGTATATTTAGCCCGTGTGTGCTTCGGAACTTGGAGGCATATACGGGCAGTATATTGGGCCCCTCTTGGGGCCTCCTGGTGCTCCTTCTTGGGGCTCTCTTGAAGTCATCTTAGGGCCTTCTTGGGTCTTCTTGGGGCTCCTGTGGGGCGCCTTGGGGCCCTCTTGGGGCTCTTTTGGAGGATCAGGGGGTTTCCTTGGGGCTCTTTTGTGATTCTTGAGGGGCCTCTTGCGGCCCTCTTGGATTCTTTCGCTGAAAAAGATAGGAGGGTTCCACTTGTTTAAAAGGATTGGGAATATCCATAAGCCCATCAACCCAACCATAATTGATTGCCAGTTTTCTTCAGCCCTCTTTGAGGCGATCTTGAGCCATGCTCGGCTAGAGGCTGTCGGAGGCTATCTTGAGCCATGCTCGGCTATCTTGGGCCATCGGCAGGCTGCCTCGAGGCCTCTTGGAGGTTTGTCGGAGGCTATCTTGAGCCATGCTTGGCTATCTTAGGCAATTTTGAAGGCAATCCTTGGCTATCTAGGGCTCTCTTGGAGCCATCTTGGGCCAGCCAAGGCGGGGTGGAGGGTATTTGGGAGAGGCTGGGGCCTTCTGGGGCCATCTTGGGCCCCATGGCTCAAAAAGTGGAGGTTCCTTAATTTGCATCGCCCCCTCGGAGGCTCTCAAACGGCGTTTTGGGGCCGTCTTGGAGCGCTCTTGGGCGCCTCTTAGACGACCTTGGAGCCGTATTGAGCCTTCTTGGGCCCCTCTTGGGGCCCTTTTGGGCCATCATGGTGCCATCTTGAGGCTTCAAAAGCCCATCGGAAGCGAAAAGGCGAGAATGCCTGAAACATTGATTTTCCCTAGGCTTTTGAAGGATTTTGGCATCTTGGAGGGTGCCGTTGAAGGCTCGAAAGGCACTTGGATCCGTTTTGGGGCAGCCTTGAGGCCTCTTGGATTTGTGTCGGTGGCTATCTTGAGCCATCTTGAGCTATCTTGGGCAATCTCGGAGGCCATCTTGCGCTCTCTGAGGCCCTCTTGGAGCCATCTTGGGCCACAAAGGACCCTCTAACCCCTCGGTCCCCCGCCGTCCAGACCCAAGGAGGGGGGGGGAGGTATATCAGGGAGGTTGGAAATGGCAACGCTCTAGACCACCTCCGCCCAGAGGGTTGGTGGGATTGGCCGAGCCGGATTTACAATGAGCTTCAGTCTTCGCCCGAGACCCAGGCATCCGATGTCTTCATTTTTCAACACGGGGTCACCCGAAGTCCCGACCCGTTCCCCAGGGCCAGCTTCTCATCGCGAGTCTTTGTTTGACCGTCCTGGGGCCCGTCGAGGGCCTTCCAGGGCCCAAGCACGGCCGACAATTTCTTGCTGTGATTGGTCAGTGACGCGAGCATGTCTGGGACGTGGACGATTCGCCCGGGATGCGCCACATTGGTGGAGCGGGAGGATGACGAAAGACGGAGCGAGCGGGGGGCAGGAGGAGTACGGCGCCCGGAAGGACCGCGTCGGCGTCCGAGGTACGGGGGGATTATTCGGGGCGACAGGGAGCGAGGGCAGCGAAAAGCAGGTTCAATCGGCCCGAGAAGGGGAGAGGAAAAGAAGGAGAATGAGGGAGATACGGAGCGGAACCAGGATTTCGGAGGTTTTTGAGGGCAGCTCGAGAAGTGTGTCATCAGGGACCCTCGGAAGCGTCCTTGGAACCAACTTTTGAGCGGTCTGGGGCCAGACGACGGCGACGACGACGGAAGGAGTCAAACACGATCACCTCCACCACCATGGCGGCGAAGCCGACCAGGGACGCGGGCGAGTCCGAGGGATAATTGGGACAAGTGGATGAGAGACAATTGAAGTCGAGAGCACAGAGATTTACGATAGTAATCTCTCTGACCACCTTGGGCGGGCCGTGAGGGGAGTGGTTACACCCTTTTGGATTCGCGCCTGATTCTGGATCCCTGTCGAGATGGGATTCTCACAGCGGGAAACTATGTGCCAGGGTCGGTAATAGCTGCACATTATTTTGTATCCACCCCAATACTGCAAGGCCTCTGTGTCTCGCTTAACACCTGACCTCCCATGACTTGTTGACCTCTCAGGGGCCGTTTCTTGGGGGCGGGGGAGCCTTGGCGCACATTGTGGGAGCAGTAACGAGGGAACGACCGTTGTGTTCGCACACATTCCACCAGTACTACTACTACTGCTACTACTTCTGCTCGTACTACTTTCATGATCCATTTTCTTACTACTACTACTACGAGTACTGCGAATACGATTGCTACTACTACTACTACTACTACTGCCACTACTACAACTACTCTTACGACTATGAGTACTATTTTTACTACGACGGCGATGCTTATGTTTGTTTCGACGACGGCTGCTACTTTTCGATTACTACGACTAAAAGACGACGGCGATTCCGACTAATTCTACTTCAACGGCTACGACTTTTTTGTTATTATTATTACGACTGTTGCTACTGTTGTTGCTACTACTATTGCTGGTTCTATTGCGACATAGTCCCAGTAGTGGTATGTTGCTCACTAGTACAACTACTGCTAATACCACTTCGTATTCGTACTACGTCTAGTATGGTTTCTTCTTGTTACTACTACTACTACTACTACTACTACTACTACTACTACTACTACCACCATCACTACTACTACTACTCGTACTACCACTATCATTCCTATTGCTACTGTTTCTCATTCTCAGCACGACCACATCTACTGATACTACTACGTCTACGATTACCACTTTCACTACGACGACTCTCTCGATTGTTGCTTCTAGTGCTGCTATTACTTTTGTGCTTCTTAGTATTGCAACTATGAGCGGTACTACTACAGCTGCTGCCTTACTATTACTGCTACTACTACTGCAAAGGCGGCAATGGCAACGACGACCACTACGCTTGCTACTACTACTACTACTACTACTACTACTACTACTTCTACTACGCTTGCTACTATTACTGTTATTATTTTCGCTATTGCTGCTACTACTACGACTACTACTACTACTACTCCGGCTCCTACTACTACTATTACAAGTGTTGTTGGTATTACTACTTTCACCACTACGACTACGACTGCGACTACGGCGGCGACTACTACTACGACTACGGCTATTACTACTTCTAATACTACTGTTACTACTACTACTACTACTACTACTACTACTACTACTACTACTCCTACTATTACTACTACTACTACCACTACTACCACTACTACCACTACTACTACTACTACTACTACTACTACTACTACTACTACTACTACTACTACTACTACTATCACTACTACTACTACTACTACTGCTACTACTACTATTTCTACGACTACTACTTCTACGACTACTACTACTACGATTATAAATATTTCTACTACTACGACTACTACTACTACTACTACGACTACTACTACTACTGCTATTGTTACTAGTACCACTACTTCTCCTCCTTGTACTGCGGATATTGCGCATCGGGCTATTACGGTTATTACGATTTAAAGTTTCTATGTTCCGCTTCTTTGTGGCGTGTTCGAAGATGTTGGTTTTCTCTTTCCTCCAGGGATAGTTTGTTTCGCGCTGCCCTACGCGCGAGAGGATTTCTGGGCAAATTCTCACGAGGATGAGCATAGTCGGCAACTGGAGCATACACATTACCAACGGCGGGCTGTTTTCGATCCCAGCACTTTCTGGGGGCCGGGGCCGACGTCGGGGTGGTGTGGTGTATTTTTGTTTCCCTGGTTTTCCGGGGAAACAACGAAACATGTATACACCAGTATCCCGTCTACACCAGGACCCGCTTTCCTGTGCAAACTTCGGTGCGGGGCCGGATAAAGCGTCGGCGTATCGAGTTCGGTTCTGTACATAGGGACCAGCGTTTGTGGATGTAGTCGTGTAGTCGGGGTTGTCATCGCCAGTGCACGCGGAAACGTTGTCGTCGTCGTCGTCGCGGCGGAGATGATGTTCCCACAAAGTTCGCCGCGCTGGATCGTGTATGGGCTTCCCTCTCCCAGGGAATAATGCCCTCCGGGCTACCCTGCGCGACAGAAGAATGTTGAGTTCGTTTGTAAGAGGATTGTATCAGTATAGGTCGATGTGTTCCTCGTCGACGTCGTCGCTCGCGATCTCCTCTCTCATGTTGTCGTCGTTGTCGTTGTTGCGCAGTGAGTGCCGCGGAGAAATATGTTTGCCTTTATGGGTGGGGCCCCAGTTCGTCAATGAGGGCGTCGAACAAGTAATACTTTCCACGGTTGGAGGGGTCAGAAGACTTACCGCGTTTACTTCAGAACATGACGAGATGGCCGCGATCACGACGGCTAAATTGGCTCCTCAGGTTTGCCAGATGCGGGCCAGAAATGACCGAAAGGGCGCTTGGATGCATCCTCTCGTTGCTGCTGCTCTCGCTTCGGCCTCCTTCTTCTCTTCCTTTTACACCTCCTCCCGCCCCATCCTTCCCTTTCATTATCCCCTGCCCCCTGCTCCCCCTCTTCCTGCCTCGCCCTTTTGCTCCTCCACTCCCTCCTCCCTCATTCCTCCAGTTCTCGCTCTCCTCTTCCCATCCACTTCTTCTCCATTATCATATGTTGCTTCTCTACCTCCCTCCCCCCGCTTTAGATCCTTCTATTCTCCCTTTCCCCCCATCGTCACTCTTCTCTCCCCCTCGCTCTCCCCAGACCCCTGACGTCATCAACGACGTGGACCCATCCCGAGTAGTTTTTTGATTGTCCCGGGGCAGGGTGAGGGCCCCTGAGGTGAAATATTGGCGTAACCTTTCCGTCGTGATTTTTGTCACGACCCCAAGGGTTCCTGGCCCTCCTCCTCCGCCTCCTCCTCCCTTCCACCCCCGTCGAGGCGCGCCAGCGCCTGCAGGCTATGGCGGCTATGGCTACCAGTACCCCCCGCCGGGGCCGTACGGCATGCCGCCTCCGATGGGCTACCCCGCGCTGCCTCCGCCCGGGCCGTCGCCGTACTACGGTGCGCGGGGTGGCGTCGGCCGCCCTCGGCGGGGGCCCTCGGCGGCGGCCCTCGGCGATACATACACACACTTTTTTTTCTCTCTCTCTCTCTCTCTCTCTCTCTCTCTCTCTCTATATATATATATATATGTATGTATATATACAGGGCCTGGCCAGACCCCTCGCGTCGTGAGAAAAAGACGGAAGGCTTCCCGCTGGTTTCGACCTCTGTTGCCCACAGCCAGGGCCGTCAGAAAAGGACTCGGGATGTAACACCGTTCCCGGGGAAGAGATCCAGACCTACGGGGGCCATGTCGTTAAAATGTGACGTCGGGGCTCGTGGGGTCAGTTTCCGATTTGGGACCATCACAAGTCGATCTTGCTAGGTAAACGCAGGAGAATGATGGGGTCCAGGGCTTCACCGCGATCTGGTTCCGCTGGTTCCGCGGCAGTTTCTGTTCCGCGGCAGCTTTTTCTTGAGAGGGGCTGCCGGCGGAAGCAGGGAGGGTGAAACAAGGCCAGTCGGAACAGGTTCAGGAGGGCCGGGCGGAAAAAGTACCGGGCGGAAGTCCAGGTGGAACAGGGCCGAGACGGACCGGATGTGGAGCCGTGGTGTGAGGCAAAAGGAGAGGAAGAGGAGGAGGAGGATCAGGAGGAGGAGGAGCAGCAGCAGGGGCAGGAGCAGGAGCAGGAGGAGGAGGCGGAACAGTAGTTATTCGAGGGGGAGGGTTCTTCCTGTGTGCATTGATGATGTATCTCGTCCTATTTTTTTCCGAGACTCTCAGTATATTATGGACGCTTCGCGTCACCCAGCCAGCCCATCTAGAAACAGTGCCAAGACGAATTGGCCTGATCAGAGGTAAAATGTCGTACCCTAAGAGGAGGGATCTCGGCTGAATCGGAGGAGGAGCAAGAGCAGGAGTAGGAGGAGGAGGAGGAAAAGAGGGAGGGGGAGGAGGGATGTGGGAGGAGGAGGAACAGGCGGATGAGGAGGAGAAGGAGGAGGAGGGCAAGCTGATAGGCAAGAGGTCTCTTGGATGCCTTTCGTTTTTTTCGCAGATTTCTTTTGAGATTCGGTTGGAGTCCTTTTGGGGCGTCTTGGGGGTCTCGTGGCAGTACCGGAGGTCTCTTGGGCCGTCGTGGGTGCCTTTGGGGGGGGCTTTTGGAGGCTCTGGGGGGTCTCTCGGGAGCCTCGTTTGAGCATCTAGGGGGCATCGTGGGTGGGCTCTTGGGGGCATCTTGGGGCCATCTTGGAGCGCTCTTGGAAGCCTCAGGGGCTATCCCCGGGCCATCTTATGAAGGATCGATCAAAGGGGGCTCCTTGCTTCATGTCAACCGCCTCAGGAGGCCAACTTTGGGCCAAAACATTAGTACAAAGTGAAATCAATGATTTTGGCTTTCCCGCCGAGGCCTCTTGGGGCAACTTGGGTGCCTCTGCGGACTTCTGGGGTCCGTTGGGGTCTCCTGGGAGCCTGTTGCGAGCCTCTTGGGGGCCTCCTAGGGCCTTCTGGGCACCTCTTGGGGTCGTCTTGGTGCACCCTTTGGAGCCTCGGGGGCCACCGACGGAAAGACCCCGCATGAGAATCACCGTATTGCGCGTGTGAGTCGCCATCATCCACGACGAGCGATGTTGATATTGCTAGGATGCCAGGATACCAGGATGCGACCTGTGGGCCCGTTGAGATCTGTGGGGCACGTAGGATTCGTGGGGGCCTTGAGACCTGCGGGGCCTGTGGGACAAGTGTGACCTGTGGGACCTGTGCGACCCGCGTGGCCTGTGCGACCAGTGGAACCTGTGGTACTCGTGAGACATGTGGGACCTGTGGTTCCCGTGCGGCTTGTAGGACCTGTGAGGCCTATGGGACCTGCTGGACCGGGGGGACTTGCCTGACTTCTGAGGCATATAGGGCCAGCGGGCCCTGCGGGGCGTGCTCCCCTGGACGGCCTCTCCTTCCCTCTGGTCGGGACACGCAAGTCGGTACTGGCGCCGTCGCCGCCGCGGGCAGGCAGGGGCGCGTACTCCGAGGGCCAGGTCGTGCAGCCGTTGGGGCTACCCCGCGGGCCGACGCCGACGGCCCGTCGTTCCTGGAATTCTCGCGCGGGCGGCCGGATGATCACAATGTCCCGCATGCACGCATCGGAAGGGCTTCCCCCGTGCTCAAGCTCGCAGAGGCCAAGCATGACGACAGGTACATGGTTCCGATGGCCCGTTCGGGTCAGTAACATGAGTTGCGGGTCCCATCGAGGGGGGCTCCTGCCTGAGTTTTCATCAACTTCACACAGACGAGGCCCCTGGTAGGCCGACGACCCGCTTCGGATTCGAACGTAAGCGCAGAGCCCTACGGAGGGGGGTCCCGCTCGAGACCTCATACAGACGAGGCTCCTTCGGGTGCGCAAGTGCTATGTATGCTACGGTCGGGCGGCGACCCGCTTCGGATTCGAACATGAAGCGCGGGGCCCTTAGGGAGGGAGTTACCGCCCGAGACGTTTTCACAATGTACTCGCAGACGAGGCTCCTCGAGGCGCTCAAGTGTTCTGCCCGCACCGGATTCGAATGTGAAGTCTGAAGCCTTCATGGAAGGGGTTTCCGCTCGATTTCTTGTGCCATTCACTCACAGACGAAGTTCATTGGGGTGCTCAGGTGCTTTGCCTGCGATGGTAGGCCTTTGACCCATGTTTGATTCGAGCATGAACCGCGGGGCGTACTGGGGGGGGCCGCTCGAAACGCTTTCACAATCCACTCACAGACGAGGCTCCTTGGGGCGCTCAAGTGCTATGTTCGCTATGGTCGGTCGATGGCCGGTTCGGATTCGAACGTGAAGTGCGGGTTGTTCGGAAGGGGGTTTCTGCTGGATGCGTTCCCGTAGTTCAGTTCGACCGGTGGTCGATGATCACGATGGCATCGCGATGGGAGGTGATAGTGATGATGATGATACGTAATTGGTCAGTGCAACTGAAGAGAGGAACAGTGCGTGAATGTGTGGGTGGATTGAGTGGGGACGATGAGGCGGAGGAGGAACAGGAGCACGATCAGGAGTAGGAGTTGGACGAGCGTCGGAGGAGGAACCGGAGGAAGAGGAGGAGGAGGAGGAGGAGGAGGCTGCGGAGGAGGAGGAGGAGGAGGAGTTTTGTGTTTGTGAGTGTGAGAGTATGTGAGGGAGTGGGTGAGTGGTGTATAAAAGGAGGAATTTGTGGGGTGTCCAGAGAAAACCAGCACTCAGGATGTGGGGCAAACCTTGGCAGAACCGTTCGTTTTGACCTTCTCACCGAAGCCTCTTGTGGGGTCTTGTGTGCCTCTGGGGGGCCTCGTTGGGCTTCTTGGGGGTATCTTTGGAGTCTCTTGGGGGCCTCTTGTGGACCGCTTGGGGGCCTCTTGAGGCCTTTTGGGCACTTCTTGGGGCTGTCTTGGAGCACTCTTGGGGGCCTTGGGGACCGTCTTTGGGCCATCTTGGCGGAGATCGATTAAAACGAGGGGAGCTCCCCAATTAGGTTCCCCCCCAAGGAGGCCAACCTGTGTCCAAAACCTTTTGTGCAATCAATGATTTTGGCTTCCTCGCCGAGGCCATCTTGGACGCTCCCGCAAAACGCCCTCTACAGACCCAGAGGGAAGGGGTAGAGGGAGGGGTAAACCCTTCCCGGGAGGGGATGACAGGGTTAGAAATCAAAGCGTTTTAAATTACTGCAGGGCCGGTGGGGCTTGAATAGGTGAGGCTAGGCGTGATTGAGTCTGAACACGAGCGTTCGGGTATGAGTGAGATTGGGCGTGATTGAGTCTCCGCATCAGCGGCTGGGAGTATGATCGGGTATGGGTTTGAGCAGGTGCGAGTATGAATGCATCTGAGTGTTAATGAGTCTGGGTGCGAGAGAGCTTGGCAATGCGTGTGTAGTTAACGACGAACGACGAACGACGAACGAATCTGGGCATGAGCGGGTTGGAATCTGAATTAGTTCGGGGTATGAGGAAGTCTTGGCATGAGCGAGGAAGCCCAGTGCCGTGTCGTACCCACTTTGGTTCCTCTTGAATTGTTAATCTGCCACGCATGCTACATCGCGGTGGCCATGGCGGTCTGAGAAGAGACGCGTCTGCTTCCCAAAACGGGCAAGTCGCCTGAGAGATCACCGCAGTCTGAGCGCGAACGGACCCGTGCCATACCTTCTGGCAGTTCCTTATGTACATGCAAGCCCCGAAGTCCAACTCAATTTGAGTCGGCTCACATGGAGCTTTCTCTGCTCGAAGAAGCTTCACGATGACTCCTCATGTCCGCGAAGGACGCTAAGGTGCCAGCAATATTCTTCCACGGGGCTCCAAGAGTCGTCCCAGGCGGCCAGAGACTCCCGGAGATGGCAGAGAGTTTGCCCCAAGAGAGATTGCCATCACCGACCTAATCATTTTGGCTCAAGAGGTTTGTATGAATTATGGCTTCACGCTTTGACTGCACCGTCTTCTCTTCTACAGCTTATGTCTTGCAAAGCTGGACTCGTCAACAAGATGTGGAACTCAGTGGATTCAAAGAGGCATCCCCTCCGCTACTTGCATCGATTGCGGCTTCTGCAGCCCAACCGGAACACGCAGCGGCAACAGTCAGGGCGTTTCTATGACAACATCAACGATGGATGTTTAAGGATCTCTCGCAGCTTACCTCAACGTGGCCTCTCACCAATCATGCCAAGGTTCAAATCACAGCTATGCGCCGTTGCCGAGCATTTTTGCTCAATGCACACCATGCAGGAGGCCACCATGAAATCCCTCCCCTCCATGCGGTCTCTGCCGCCCTGCCAGGAGAGCGACGGCGAGCCACTGGAGACCGACGACGAGTTCGACCACCCGCGCGGGCTCGGGCCTGGGGCGAGGTCAGTCACCAGAGGAGAGGAGCAGAACCTGGAGGAGCAGAACCTGGAGGCGGGCGAGCAGAACCTCGCCCGCTGCTGGCGGGCGAGGTCAGTCACAAGAGGAGAGGAGCAGAACCTGGAGGAGCAGAACCTGGGGCCTGCGCGCGTTCGGCGAGGAGCAGAACCTGGAGGCGGCTGCGCACCCGAGAACCCACCCGAGCACGTGCAGGACCCAGCCTGGGCGGGCGCCGGCGGCGCCCAGCCGGCTGCTCGCGAGCGGCCGCCGCCTCGGCCTGGAGGCGCCCAGCGCCACGGCGTTGTCGGGGCAGCGCCGCGCTCCTCCTCCTCCTCCTCCTCCTCCTCCTCCTCCTCCTCCTCCTCCTCCTCCTCCTCCTCCTCCTCCTCCCTCCTCCTCTTCCTGCTCGCCGACCAGTCCGCCCGGCGTGCCGCCGCGCTCCGCCGCGGGTGCGGCGCTCGCTGGGCGGCCCCCGGGCGACTGGGCCCCGCGGGCGCAGCCCGTCCACGCCGAGGGCATGGCCGCGCCCGGCTCGGGCCGCGCGGCCCGGGCGGGGCAGCCGGCGTGTGCAGGGCGGGCGGGGGCCGCCGGCGGCGCGCTCGCGGCTGCCAGCAGAGCTCAGGAGGGGAAAAAACACACAGACAATTAATCGGCGATTCCTAGAAAATATGGGAAAATATGGGAAGCGGGGGGGAAGACAAAAATCCAGAACATATGGGAAAATATGGGGGATATTTTCATTTGTGTGTATTTATTTGTGTGTCCCAATTCCCCTTCAAGAGCGCTGGAGGGGCAGCGTGCCAGGTTCTCGGAGCAGGAGCAGCTGCTGGCGGAGCTCCAGCGGCAGGGTCAGGAGATCAGGCAGGGCATTCTCCAGCAGGAGGCCGACCTGGCGGAGCTAGAGCTTCAACCAGGGTGGGCTCGTGGGCAACGCGCTGGTGCCGATCGACGATGCAGCGCCCGCCGCCCCCAGCGCTCCAGACATCACTACGCTCATGGTTTGCAACATCCCGATGGCTGTGACGCAGAGGCATTTGCTGGACCTCATCAACAGGTCTGGCTTCGCGAACCGTTATGACTTCGCCTTTTTACCAACAGATTTCGACGCTGGGACTTCGAAAGGGCACGCGTTTGTCAATTTCGTCTCCCCCGGTGACGCCCGCGAGTTCTCAAGAAAGTGGAACGGTGCGCGGCTGACTGGGGCTGGACCCGTCGCCGCGGCTATTCTCGAGGTCGGAGCGTCACGGCTGCAGGGCTACAGGGAGAACACCAGGAGGTGGAGTGCGATACGGCTACGGCGTACGAAGAACCGTGAGCTCCACCCGTTCATCGACCAGAGGCTTGTTGCCGGTTGAACGACCGGTTGCACAAATTCATTGTTGCAGACGATTCGGGAGGGGCGGGGGTCAAGGGCGCCGACAGGGAGAGGGTCAAGAGCTCACCTCCACCTGCATCGCTCGTCTACAGGTGGGGTGTCCAGAGTATCTTGATGAGATTCGATGGTGTATATTATATTGGGGTCGATGTCAAGCGGTGATCCTTTGCCTCCTCCTGCCCTGTGCTTTGCTTTACTGGAGGAGGAGGTGGACGTGGAGGCGGAGGAGGTGGACGTGGAGGCGGAGGACGAGGAAGATGCCACGCAGCGCGGACCAGTTGACGACCCCGCGCCAGCGCGGCCACGAGCTGGCCCCCCGCCAAGCAGGCAGCCCAGCCGAGCTGCGTTGGGCCACGTGGTGCGGGGGGGTGGCTGTACGTGGTCGCGCGCGCTCGTCTGCGTCCCGACAAGTACCAGGAAGCTAGATACTCGGGTCACCCTGATGGGCGCGAAGAAGTGCGCTTCGCGCCTTGCGGCCTCTGCTGGACAGCTGCCGTCCTCCAAGGTGGCCTTTTGAGAGCGTGTGCTCAACGGCTTTCACGAATCGTGGGGCGCGACGCTCGAGGTCAGGTGGCCGAATCTGGCGGCGAATATATATATATATATATATATATATATATATAGTTGATCCTTTTTGTTCACGGCCTTGCACTCGTGGTTTACATTTGCGAATACGACTGTGCAAGCATCTCAGCAGCGTTGCATGTACTTCATGAGGGCATGGTCCCTGAGGCTTCCCTGTGTAAGCCATAGCAATAGTCAGGATCACCCCACTGTTTTTCGCGCGTCGCGACCTAGTCTGGACTCTGCTCTCCTCGAACGTCTTAAGAGTTAGGCTGCCGCATTTGGGATTTAATTTATCTGACATCATTGTCCCCGTCCGACCCTTTTTTCAAAGCACCGCCTTCCAAATTTCTTAGTGGCTCTTGAGTTGCCTCATTAGGCCATGGTTCATAGAGTTTCGTTCTGCATGTATCCGTGGTCGTCGCTCCTCTTCTCCTCCTCCTCATGCTCCTCTTTCTATGGCGGGCTGGTTTCGTTCGGAGTTGTCGACTCCAGTGCACGGCATGCCACTTGGCAAGTCGTATTTGTATTGAATTATATTGGCGGAGTTCCCGTGGTTTTGCCCAGACACCCACATCGAGGACATGTGGTTAGGTATCATTTGGGCTTCGTTGCCTGCCACATGAGAGCGCCATGTTCCACCGCGATTGGTAATCATCTCCAGGAGACTATCATCAGACCTGCCAGCATCATACCACCTCTACCACTGCGTCCGATGTATACACTATTGCGTTGAGATCCTATGACGAATGGTCATTCATCCTCATCATTCTCCTCGCCACCGGTATCCGCGCACAGCAATTTAGGTCAAGCGTGGTTTGGGTACGTACATCAATCCAGTGCATTTGCCTCCTGACGGGGGTGTTACAGCATGCTTTCCTGTTCATTGACAGTGCATTGCTTCGTCCTCACATGTATGGCGGTTAGTGGGACACGTGTGTCAACAGATCTAGGTATCAGAGACGCCGTAAAGTGGGGAAAGTCAAAATCGACACACGAGATGGTCATTGACGCTGTCAAGCGAGCTTGCATCGAAGACTTCGGAAGGGAGTACGAGAACATGTTGAGGTCTGAGCGTCCAGATCTCCTCCCGACTGATTCTCGTGAAGTGTTATTCGACCTACTCGGGCAGCGATGGGCCCTCGAGGATGCGGTTGCTGTGGATCCCGGCAACAAGACGCTCAAGGAAGAGTTAGGTGTCGCAAAGGCAATGATTAAGAACAGGCTGTTTTCCGTGACTTACGTCGGCCACATGTGCGGGAAATATTTGAAGCAGCCCAGGGAAGATGTGGTCAGGGATTGTGTGCTTGGTCACGTCGAGAATGCCACGACCGTGAAGCGGAGCAGCGTTGTCTACTCTAGACGCTTCGCGTAGCCCCACCCTGGGCGAGCTGCCTAGATCAGGCATGTAGGGGAGCACGCAGTGGAATAAAGGCTGGGAAGTCTTCATGCCCCAAGAGGGAGAGGATGGAGGAGGAACCAATGGAGGACGATGGGGAGGACGAGGAGGAGGAGGAGGGGCAGGAGGAAGAGGGGGAGGAGGCGGAGGGGGAGCAGGGAGGAGGGAGAAGGGAGGAGGGAGGAGGAGGACTAGCCGGATGAAGAGGAAGATGAGGATGTGGTGAAGGAGACGGGCGAACAGAAAGGTCAGAAGCCTCGTGGATGCTTTTCGGAGTCTCTTCGGATGCCTCGAGAGCTTCCTGTAGGCCTTTTGGGGCGTGTTGGGGGCGCTCGATGGTCATGGGGGCCTCTGGATGCGTCTTGGGTGCACTGGAGGAGCCTCTTGGGGCCTCTTGGGGGTCTCTTGGGAGCCTTTGGGGGGCATCTTGGGCGCATCTTGGGCGCATCTTGGGACCTCCTTGGCGCCTCTTGGGCCCCTCCTGGGGCACTCTGTGGAGCCTCGCGGGCAATGTTGGGGCCATCTTGGAGGTGGGGGTGATCGATCAAGTAAGGGGGAGGTTAAAATTGGCGTTGCCCCTAGGAGGCCAAGATGTGACTCAAACCCGAGTAATCTCACTGATGTTGGCCTTCTCGCCGAGGCCGTCTTGGACTCTCTGACACCTCGCGTTCCCCCGTCCAGGTCCAAGGGGAGGGTGTACGGGGGAAGGGTAAACGGCTCCTCGAAAGGGAAGATGGAAGATGGAACTTGCAACTCTCTAAACCAATCACGCCCTAGATGGTTGGTGGATTTCCCTACGTTGACGCTTGATCTTTCCCCCGGACAGAAGGTCCAGTTGAGCAAGCTTATTAAAGCGAGGTGGTCGCTGCAGAAGAGGTTGCGCGTCCTGAGCGAGGCTGGGGCGGCTCACCTGAGCTGGAACGACCGCAGTATGTTGAAGACCTCCGTTTCCAAAGAGCACGAACAAGCTAGGCATATGATCAAGACGTTTGGATCCAGGCGCCTGCGGTACAGTCCGCCACCGTGCCACTGGGCTCCGGAGGGGGAGCGGGGGGGGTACACGCAGCGAGGCGCTACTAGGAAGGGTGTATGTGCTTTTAGAAACCTTGCAGGAATCCTACCAGGCAGCATTCCGAATTTCTGATACTCCCGCATCGTGCAGGCACGGTGACGGATTCTCTCTCTACCACACGACGAGTCGCTGCAAAAAGGAAGTCGCGCGTGACAGCCTTAGCAACAGTGCCTCGATCATGGCCCGCATCGCCGGCGAAATAAACGGCCCAGTGGCCAAGCAGCATGGCTCTTGCGCCGAAATCTCTGGCGACTTCTGCCCCGAGGGCACGAGCCCACAGAGTAAGCGTGGCTTCGATTCCACGACGTTCGGAACAGTTTACGCTGGCACTTTTGCCGTATTCAAGCCGGCATCCATGGGCATCGGTTTTGTGGTCGGTTTTCTGATTGGTGGTCCTGCGCTCGGAGCGGCCTTTGCCGCGGGAGCCGCCATCCCTGGGCCAGCTTTCGTGGTGCCCGTGCCGATTGCGGCCGCTGCCGCCACGGATTGGTTTCCCAAGTGCCGTTGTTTCCCAAACGAGTGCGTCTTTGACGAGCATCTTCGATCGTGTGCCATGGCAGCGTCCGGAAAGTCGTCGAATCCCTTCGAGCGTTTACCGTACCCCGGGCAGAAGTGCGTGCCAGCTGGGGAGCCTGGCAATGATGGAATAATCGTGTGCAAGCTGCAGGCTTGTTCAGCAGATGACTACGCACCGGCTTGGGAGCAAGTGCCCATCTTCGGTTCAGTGGGAACGCACCGTGAGGAGACGCGCAACTGCTTGAGTTCCAGTGGCAATGTGGAAGATAGTTTGCTGCTAGTGGACAATTTGCCTGGCGCGAATGGTGGTACCTTGAACAATACTGTTGGCAATCGCACAGCTCTCTACAAGTCCATGGGAGTACAGCCCCCCATCACGCAATCACGTGAGTAAATATCGAAGGCGAGTTCGAAGACGTTCTAACATAATCGTCATTATCGTAGTCTCCCTCATCGTTCTGCAGATGCGCTTCACAAGAATCATCCACCCTCCTCCACGTCATAATCGTACCCTCATTGTCTTCTTCGCCCCCTCATGTCCCTTGCCTCCTCACCTTGCGCGTCTTCTTTCTCAGCCGAAGGACGTTTGTATCCATCCCGACGTAGTGGTTGCGCCGATGCATCTTCGATGCGGCGCGATCCTCCGATCCCATCTACCATCGTCCTATATCGATGGTTTCCTGCCATGCTTGCTACACTTTCGGAGATGGGTATAACTCCCACCCTACCAAATCGATTGGCGAATTCGCCCGTGGGAGGCCCTAATTTCGCGCAGGAATGTTGCAGCCGCCATATGGTTGCGGGTTTGCGCCCGCGAGGTTGGAGTTCTAGGGCGTTTTCGTAAAATCGTTGTGTTTGTCAAAGTGGTTTCGCCCAGACCCCGATGCGCATCTCGATCCTCAGCATTTTCCTCCTCATGACCTTCGCCAGCCTCAGCATCTTCCTCTTCCTCCTGTTCCCATTATGTCTCTCCTGATAGTGGCTGCGCATGGACAAATACGAACAAGGTATACAGGGCAATTGCTCGCCCTCTTCATCGCAATCCTTCAGGTCGTTGTTTCCTCCTCGTTCCCGTCCTGCCCTCCCCCCCTCATCCTCCTCCGCCCCGTCCTCTCCATCATCGTACCCCTTCCCTTGTTCTGCCATCTCCCGTCTCCTATCCCTTCCTTCCCTTCCCGCATTCCTCACCTTGCGTGCCCTATGCGAGAATGAGGGGGCCAGTTGGTCATTCCTTGTCCCTGGGCGCGTGGTTGAAGTAGGGTTCCGCGATGCGGATTGTTGCTGCGTTTTTGCGGTGTTATTTGTACATTGATTTTTCGTTTCTAAAGGATGTTTCTTGTTGATCCCCCCTGCCCTGTGCCATTTGTATTTTGTCAAATCAAATGCTCCTCTCGGGGCTCGCACCCTGTTCTTTATCAGGGAAAGTCTTTCTCCTCAAATTGTGGTGTCAGCCCCCCCGCTTACATCACCAACAAAAACAATCATTCCTGTATTGCTTATTCTTACTAGCGTGCGTGCCATTCAGCACGTAAATCCTAAACTCAAGTCGGGTCTGTCCCTCTACAGGGGGAATATTCAGACTAGTTAAACATGGTACCGCAGAAAAAAACATCAATCAGGCCTACAGGGCTAGGGGGCTATATGGCTATAGGGCTATTGAGCTATGAGGCTATAGGGCTATTGGGCTATAGGGCTCTTGTGCTATAGGCCTAAAGGGCACCCCCAGGCACCCCCAGGCACGCCCGGGCACCCGGGCACCCCCAGGCGCCCGGGCACCCGGGCGTGCGGCGAAAATCGGCGGCAAACCTAACCAAACCATATGAGTCCGCTAGGACCCCTACAGAGGCAAGCTCTGATTGGGGAATAGTCTGGGGACGATGTTTGACATGTTTTGAATTTTTGTTGGGATCTGTTTGGGGTATCCTTTTTTGTTGTCCAAAGTCTGCCTGTAGGGGGACAAGCCCGACGTAATCCTAAACCAGCGATGCCTGCCCTCTTCTTCTTTGATCGATCATACCCCCGTAGGGGGGTATCTGTCTTACCTGCAACGTGTATTTCGTGCAGCCCCGAAGGCAAGGGACGAGAGGACGGATGGAAGGAAGGGACAAGTGGCAGGCGGGTTGTTGAAGCGTGCGTCTTGCATGAATCGCGAGGAAGTATTCAGCGACACCACGATGTCTAAGTAATTCTTCAGGAAATCCACAGCGAGAGCGTGTTTCCTGAGTGTCGAGGGCGCGGCGTCTGAATAAATTGCGCAGAGGTCCCGCACGAGAGCGCGATTGCTGCATACATTGTCGGCGCGAGAGCGCGATCTGGGAATGCATTGTGAGGAAGAATCTGGCGGGAACCGCTGTTGTTGTAAATGGGGGGCCAGGGGCATGATTCGGTGACATGTTATTTTGCCTTGTGCAAGCAGGGTGCGAGCACCCGGGATATGCGCTTTATTTCAAAAAAGATATGGCTTCCGGAGGGGAGGATCAACAATAGTTATTCTTTCGGTAATTCATTCACAACACCAAATGTTCCCTTCTGATAGAATTGCAAACAGTATTTCATCATCGCGCTCCCTGGCGGGACTTCCTCAGAAATCTGAAGGCTGCCGCCGACCCCTATCGAGCGAGTGGTTGGGATCGTGGGGGGTGGCGGTGACTCAGGTTAGCGGTCGGTCGATTGGGCGTGGTTGTAATTCCTATCCAGGAGCAGCGATGACCCCATCCCCGAAGGGGAAGAATGGGATTGGACAAGGAATCGCGAATCGCGATAGACCATAGGCGTCGGAGCCATCATCGTTATTTTGGGTCCTGAGGTGCCGCCTGTGAGGCGGTGTGAGGACTTCCTGCAATTGTGGGCTTGGCGATGCCGCGCGAAAGATAGTTCAGTCTATTTCGCTTCGACATCCTCGCCGTTGTCCTGAGGCGGTCCCGCCCTGTTGGCTTGAGTCATTCTCGCAGTTGTGGGCTTGAGGCACGCCAGAGGTCTACCCAGGTTCTCCTCCCACACTCTCGCTTCTCAGGGCACATGGATGGCCTGACATGAGCTGGTCTAGTTAGGTTCGCTTCACACTTCGTCACAATCTGGGCTCGGATTCGACCTGGCTTGAGCTCGTCCAGTCATCTTCGCCCGATGCATCCTCGCTATCCTGGAGTAGTCGATGTTCGTGCCTCACTGTGTCCGATCTCGTTCCTCGCGGTTCCCCGTGGACTGTTCGCTTCGCTTGAGATCTCCTTGTTTTTCTGGGTTCACGCACTGAGGTCCAAACCTCACGTGGTCCCGGTCCTTTTCGCTTGGGAGATCGTCAGGGTGGGGTGCCCAGACTTGAGGTGGTTTAACCAATTTCGCCCGAGATCTTCTTTTTCTGGGCTCAGAGATATCCTGTCAATGCTGTCCCAGATTACCCATTCAACAATTTGTGTCACTTGTCGGATGATCAATCGGGGTGACTGCAACCCTCCTTGTCGTCAGTGGCAGATATGTCAGTCGGGGCCACCTGTCCAACGGGCGAGGGTCGGTAGGCATTACATGAGGCGAGTTGCCCGCCTCTGCCGAGGAGATTTCGGGAGGAAGTGGTTGCATGCGCTAGTCGCCCACAGTCGTGTGCGGATTGCCCTTGCCTTAGATGCCGTGTTGGGCATCGTCGGAGGGGAGGCCCGACGGTGCAACATCAGCCAGACTACTGCCGCTGCACCTTGCCTTGCCTTTACGCCCAAAGCAGAAGATCACATCGCCTCCCAGGCCGGCGGGTTCGGAAGTCATGGAGCGTCGCGTCAATTTCGCGGGAGGAGTCATTGATATGCCATGCCCAAGCTTTGCCAGGAATGCCACGGGCATTCGCCAGTGGCCCCTGAAAGGCCAGGCCAACTTAGGAGCTACGATTCCTGGCCGATCTGACTCTTGGACGCCAGTTTTGGCCCGATCCACCGTGCGCCATTGAGGTGTCTAAGGATCCAATATGAGGGGTCTCCCCCTCGGCGGAAGCCAACGCAATTAAAACGAGGATGGTGCCGCTGGGGGGAGCTTGGCGGAATTCTGCGGAGGTGCAGTGGGAGACTTCATGAGAGGTCAACGCTGGCGTCAGAAGAGTTATCGGAGGTCGCCAGGTGCCCTCCGACAGTTTCCCTTGCCATCGCCATTTCCGTGATTCGGTCTGTGGACAAGTTCTACCCGTAGCTCGGTCGTCCGACTCATTCGCGGCGAGGCTCAGTCCGCGTTCTCAGACGCCCCACAAGCCCCCAGGACCGACTCAGGCGCCCCCCAAAGGATGCGAATGGAACCCCCGAGGGCCCAAAGACGGCCCTCGAAGCGGCCGCGAGGTTTCCTGACGGACTTGAGACGGATCGAGATAAACCCCAGAGCCCCCGACAGACGCCACATTCGCCACCCAGTGTTAGCAGCGGCGTTCAACGCGCCCCAGGCGGCGCCCACGCGGCCCCCATGCTTCGAAGAACATTGAGGGCCTGCGTGGCCAAGGAAGGTTTTGAGGGGGGCGTGGGTTGGTTTGGGGCAAGAAATTGCCGCGTGGGAAATGCCAAGGACAGGAGCTCTGTGGGGTAGGGATGCCGGGGCGAGGAGGGGGGCGTGGGATGGTTGTGGAGATGCCGGCGCGAGGAGGGGGGCGTGGGTTGGTTTTGGGCGAGAAATTGTCGCGTGGGGGGACGCGGGTTGGTTTTGGGCGAGAAATTGTCGTGCACGTGTGAGGTCCCAAAAAAGAGAGATCTGGCGGGGTGGAGATGCCTGGGCGAGGAGTAGGGCGTGAGTTAGTTCTGGGTAAGAAAATGTCGTGTGGGATGTCCCAAGAACAGGAGCTCTGGTGGGGTGTGGATGTCGGTGCGAGGAGGGGGGCGCGGGTTGGTTTGGGACGAGAAATTGTCGCGTGGCAGGCCCCAAGAAGCTCCGGTGGGGCGGGGATGCCGGGGCGAGGAGGGAGGCGTGGGTTGGTTTTGGGCGAGATCAGTCGCGTGGGGGGCCCCAAGAACAGGAGCTTTGGTGGGGCAGGGGTGGTGGGGCGAGGAGGGGGGCGTGGGTTGGTTTCGGTTGAGAAATTGTCGCGTGGGAGGTCCCCAGAACAGGAGCTCTGGCGGGGTATGGATGCTGGGGCGAGGAGGGGGGCGCGGGTTGGTTTTGGGCGAGACAGTGTCGTGCGGGAGGCCCCAAGGGGGAGCGTGGGTTGGTTTTGGGCGAGAAATTGTCGCGTGGGTGGTCCCAAGGACAGGAGCTCTGGTGGGCTAGGGGTGCCCGAGCGAGGAGAGGGGCGCGGGTTGGTTTTGGGCGAGAACATGTCGCATGGGAGGTCCCAAGAACAGGAATAGTGGTGGGGTAGGGGCGCTGGGGCGGGCGAGAAGTTGTCGCGTGGGGGGTCCCATGCAAGGAGCTCTGGCTCTGGTGGAGCAGGGACGT